GCCCCATGCATAATGGATATCCCGGATCGGAGCATCCAGATATTTCCAGTGGAAATCTCTTTCGTTGGACGTTAGCTCCCGTTACGATAAACGCCGTGAATCACTAGTGAACCGTGGAACGCTTTCGCGTTTCCCTTTCGATGAAAATGCTTCCGAGCAAAAGGTCAATTTACAGGATAAAGCCACCGGAACCCACATCGACGTCGATAACGTTCTGTCATTATAAATTACTGATAACGTTTGATCCTCCTACGCGTGTCGTCTTTATCGCGTGACAGCGATCGAAGCGGAATGTATAATGTTATGCACGCGACTTATCGTAGATCGGAGCGAAGGATGAAACATAAGCGCGTGGTGCAGTAAACCTACACGAATCGGCCGGACCAGCTGACTGCCAAAACAGCTGTAGCTGTACCGATACAGGCGATGATGCATCCTTCGCTCCGTTCCCTCTCCTTCCCGACTCGGTGACTCAATGCTGCGCCTATCTATCCGATTCCACCCTATGCAGTTCCTCTCCCCCTCGTCTTTCGTACCCTGAAGATTTTTTATCTGGGCGGCAGACCCCACGCGTCTTACGGTCGAAAAAGTTCTCCGATTCCTATGCATCATCCCCCTCGTGTCCGATTCGTGAAAAATATCGAGGAGATCGCTCGATACGCGACTCGTTAAAAAGAGTCGTCGAAAACCGTTTACCAGCGAGTTCTGTTTCTCTCCCGCGGGCCGTGTTATTTCTGGCCTTCTTACGCAACGAACAATGCGTCGGTCGACGACCGAGACAGCGTTAATCGTTCTTGTTACGCACGATTTTTGTCGCTCGAGCCTACACGTTCCGTGCTGCAGGTATTCACGACCGATCCTCGGATCCGACCGAACTGTACAGTGGATTGAGAAAATACGGATTATCGTCCGCGTTGCAGAGTCACGCCGTGACCAAGGGAAATTCGATTCTAAGAGCGAATCGTTCGTTGTCTCAAAGTGAAAGTTGTCGTTACCTAATTCCAATCTTCTAGAAAATACAAATAGTTTTTCCGTTTCTTTTTCCTGCCTCGGCGTTACGCGGGCGGAGCCCAAAAGCTAGTCAGCTGCCGCGTGTACCGATTATTCGACGATAAGATCGAATCACGAATACGATTCGTTTTTTAGGAGATTTAAAATGAATCGAGGATCAAAAGCCACTGCAACGAAGGCAACGTCTAAAAACTGATGCTAACTACGCACGTCTAAGGTTTAACAGGATAACCGTCGACCGCTTTGTGGTTTCGCGTTGAGACTCGGTTTTAAAATCCTGCCTTTACAGGATTGTAAATTTGGACAAACTACTTCGACTCTACGAACGGCGGACGACGCACGCTGCAGCGAGATTACATCATCGCGTATAATGCCTTCAATGAAATATCGTAACGTAACGAACGCGATACTCGATACTGCGTACAGTATCCTTGAATTTATATAATAGTCGTTCTTCCATTATACGAGTAACGTCGGGCTTCTTTCGTTTCCCTCCCCCAATCTTGTCACGGGATAGAACTAGTTGCGTAAGAAATTTTGTCGTCAGCCTGCGGACAGTCGAAATCTACGACTACACGCCATTCCCCCTTGCCTCTCTCGAATTCTTACGTCGTTACCGTTTTTGTATCTGTTACGTGTTCGACAAATTTGTATACGATTAAAAACGCGTGGAGCGTGAAACGATTCGAGATGGCTGAGGCTACCGTCGGGACAGGAGAGTTCGAGATTCGACAAAAAATATTTAATAGACCAGCCCGGTTTAGTGCTCGTTCACGGTTCGATAAGTGAGAATTTCCTGCGGATACTGGAAGGAAACTGGTCCGATCTCTCCGCGAGAAAAAGTCCGTCTCTCTAGTAGGTTAACGTTTCCATAGCGACTGCTGTTTCTACCCCTGCATCGGGTCTCCCTCATCTTTTTTGGCCAGTTTCGGAAGAGCGGCCAAATGGAACCGGAGGTTTCACGCCAGGCGAACAAAAGCGAGTCGTTTAGCGTTCGATCGCCTCCCACCCCCACACGTCCCTCGTGCCTCCCGATGAAAGATGGAAATTCGGAGGAACGATGTAAGATTAAAAACGTGACCTTGATAAGTTTCAAGTGCAAGGCCGAGAAAAGGGTTTGTTCGATGTCCCGGAGCGAGTCGCATCGCCGAGCGTGTGTCGCGCTCTGCTCGTTCGTCCGACCAAGCGCTTTCATCCACTCTCGCTCTTTCACCCTTTTACCCTTTTTATTCTTTCACGTAAGCCTTTTGTCCCCCAGGATATTTGCGGAGCTTTGTTTCGTCGACGGCCGTGTATAGCGGCTTAAATATACGTCGCTAATGGCGCGGGACTGAGGATACAAAAGGGTTGCTTGCCACCACTGCGAACCCGCCCGGCGCTGCGCGCTGGCAAATGTTTATTTATAATTTCACCATGGTTAAGAGAATAACGAATCGGCGGAAGCTAAACATCGAACCTTTCCAATCCAGGCGAGACGAGCCGTCCACTCATCTCGATTCGTACGCGAACGATGATCATTCAGTTGTTTTCATTTCGAGGCTCGTCGAACGAATTCTGTTGGTCTCTCTCTCGTGAGAGATTCGCTCCTCTGTTCTGACTCTTGCTGCACGCGCCGAGTGCCACGTTGCAGGTCACTGCAATGCGGCTGATGGTGGCAGTTGGTCAATAGGCAACCGGCCAATTTCAGTCGAATTTAAATAAGCCCTTGTGCCATTTTGCACGGTCACCTCCGAACGGTTCCAAAGGAACATTCTCTCTCGCCGCATCGCGCAACCTATTCGTGTCCGAGAGGCGAGATCCAAAATTGATGAATCGATCCCTCTTCGAACGTATCCGAGCGATCGTCTTCCGAGTGATTTGATTTTAATTAGAAACGAAGGGGGGGTTGGGCGATAAATAGATTAGGAAATTTCAGATTAGGACGCGTTTGCGCGATGCGACGTGCTCGTCGTTCCTTGTAGAGGCCACCTGGAGATGGCGGTATACATCTTTTCTGGTTTCTGGTGCACCAAAGAAGTCTACTCGGTCGTTATCAGCCAAGTACCAATTCGTCGCGGCTGTCCTACCGAGAATCCTATACTACTTGACATTTCTACTACGATTGCTCGAGCCTCTTGGCGGTTCCCGAAGGAAGTTCGATCATTCATCAGGTGATATTTTTCAATTTTTCGGTTGTTACTCATTGTGGGAACACTATATTTAGATCGATCGCGCGTTATCGCCTCACACATGTATTGTTTGCACGGTTCCTCCTTATCGGACGTTAGCTTCATTTTTTGGATTATTATCTTCAATTCACGCCCGACTTTATCGCGGTCTACCACATATACGACAGCTCTTGTTACTTAGCTACGCGTTCTTCGAAGAAGAATACAAGCCACGTTGCTCGACTCGAAAATATCTAATCTCGAGGAACGGAGTTCGCCTCGGAGGAATCTCGGTCAACCGATGGTGTACGCAGTTAGGACACGCAGCATCTCGGGAAAAGAGCAACGCGCGCACGTGTCGCCTTTTCTTTTGGCACCCCGTTTACACGCGGTTCCTTTTTATTCATTCACCTTTTAAATTATACACGCGCATTACGATTGTACCGGGGCTAGGTAGGGTCGAAGGTAGAAAGGGCGCGAGGGGTAGTGCGCGCGCGATCCAATGAAACCCTAGATGGTTGGAGCGCGGCGTTAAAACCACCCTCCGCGAATCCCGTCGGCGTTACTAACCGATTACGCCGCACACGTGCCCCCGATGTACGCCGTATAGGTCGTAAAATGCGATCGTCGTTCAAGGACGCAAAGTTGGCCGCTTGCCGTGGGACATCTAGACGATCCTATCAATCGGGACCGTTCGCGAACACCGCGGTATCTCCCGCGTCGAGGTCCGACGCGGCTCGGAGGAAAAGAGTACAGCAGCTACTTGCCTTGACAGTTCCGCGGGAACAAAGGCGAAGCGCGCTCGATCCAAAAGATAGACGCGATATACCTGTGTACCTCCGCGCTGCTGCTCCGAAGTTGCACTCGGATTTTCCGAGACTTGACCTACTAGTGCAGTTTAAAGTGGCATGCTGACACTTTCAAAGATGGCGTCGTAACGAACACGCCCACTCAGCGGAGCCTTACAATGCCTCAAGAGAGGTTTTTGTTCTAGAATAAAGACTCGTCCACGTTCTATGCACCGTTTCCTATCCTGTCCTACCCTCGACTCCATTAATCAGTTTTTCCTCCCCCGAAAAGCTTTACTCTCTTCTCTCCGACCGTCCCGCGGTCTGATCAGTCGCGTAAACGACGTCTACATTCGGATAAACGGGGAATATCAATTTCTACTCCGTGCTTTAAGCCACTCTGTCCTCGTAGCGGTCGTCGGAGACGGTGGAGTTGTACGGTTTCGATGTGTGAACAAGAACGAGGAAGAAGAGGCCTCCTCCTCCTCGCGGTGCTACCCTTGCCCTTGACTGTAGGCGCGAGACCGCTTGTCTGAGGGTTGCCGAAGCTTGCAGACAGGGTGGATAGATCCCTGACTACGCGAGGAAGGGAAGTAGGAAGAACGGAGAGGGACGACGCCGTACACGGTCTTCTTCTTCTTACTTGGCTCGGTTTTAGCCGGACGCGTGGATGCGTCGTGTCCGGTTCGTAGGGTGAGCCGGATAGAACGGGACGGAGCGTGTAAAGCGCGTGGAGCACAGAGAGTCTCGTCGAGTGGAGGGTTGCCGAGACAGGCTCGGTGTACGTTAAGTGGTCGACTGGGTGGCTGTTTCGTTGGTCGGATAGTTGGCTTACTAGACACTTGACGCGTCCAAACCCCATCCGCGATCGTTACCTATCGTGAACCCCCGTTCTCTCGTACCGAAGCTAGATATCGTGACCCTAACCCTACCGTTATCTATCTCTCGCATCCCACATTTTATTATTTCACAGTTTCAAGTACACACGTTCCGTCGAATAATATTTGAAGTCTCGGTCGATTCAACGCAAATAAATCTTTTTGGTAAATCTTACCTTTCACGTGTTCCGGTGTATCGGCCGTACCGGCGCGCATGAAGTCGTTTAAATAATGCTCCAACGTCCGCATATTGTCCAATGGCGAGTTCCCGTTAGCCGTCATCCGATCCTGTAAAAGAGAAATCGTTGGAATTGGGCGAAGTAACCAATTTACGAGGTACGTTGTTCGCGGTCAGCAACGCGAAACGATGGAACGAATGGAACGATTGCCAAAAATTGAAATAAAAGGAAATAGTAGGAGAGGGGAGAGGAAGAAATTACACGTAAGCGCCGAGCGGTTCTCCCGTCACGTGAAGTGGAAGGAAATAATCGATCGTCTGACCACGCGCTGCCTCATACTACTTGGATGCATTTCGCGGTAGACGTATAGCAAGTGTGCAGGCCTAGGCCTGTATTTCGGCCTGTTAGCGTGTCTTTCGGTGACTCGAGGTCACGCAGCCATTGATCGTTTAGAAAAGTAAGAAAGTTCAGAGATGGCAAGTGCCAACCCGTTGCCCGATGAATAGGACTTTTGTTCAAGACCTGACCACAGACTGGGGAAGACAAAGGTGTCCTAAACCCGACAACCTCGACAATGAACGCACCTCAAACATTTTCTAACTAGCCTGTTCGTACTAAAAAAAGTTTTGAGACCTATCGTTCGATACGAGGAAAGAAAATCGATGTCTTTATTTCAGCGAATTAGTCCTAAAAATGGCCTTGTTTTACGACCCTCCTCATGTCCATCTACAACCTAATCTAATGTACCTCCAATATTATACATGGGTTAGGAAAATCGTAGATACGTTGGGGATGCACACCGGAAACAATGGGAGAAGATGGGGAAGGACGATGAACGCAGGCTCGATGCCGGATAATACATCCTCCTACCCTTTGCCACCTGAAGCGGTGCAAAAGGTAGCTCCACCTTGCTTGCAGTCGCGTCTTCTTCGCCCTACCTGCGACCCTTCGCCCACCCTCGGAACACGAACACCCTGACACCTCCCGTGCACCAACCCATTTCCCCTGTTCTGGTGTTACAGCCCGCCCGTCCGTACATGCACACGTTCGCGCGCGAACGTGACCGACGCACGCGCACACATCCCTTTTTCTCTCCCTCTCGCCGTGTCCGCTTCCGTCTAGCTAAAGGCACGCGAGAAAATCAATATAGGGAAACCAGGAAGCGACGGCAGGGCGTCGACAGCAACCTCTGTGCAGGCTCCATCGCGGTATCACTCTTACTCCACTTTGCTCTTCCTCTCCTTATCCGTTTATCAACCGTCCCTCCCTTCTGTCTTCGGTCTGTCGACGAACTTTGCTCGAACGAGTTTCCTCGCGATTTAAATTTTACTCGAACGTTGATGAGAGCCGAGCAGAATAGAGCGGAGAATCAAATGAACCATTGCCAACGTACAGCCCAGGGGCAATGGCGTTCCACATTCGCGATCTATCGGCGAACGATTGTTCGAATCGGCCCAGTTCCGATGGCTCCGCTCGGTCGACCAAGTTTCTCTGAATTCGCAATTACAATCGAGACAGCCGCGATACGTTCTTGAAAACGAGACGCGTGAAGTTTAGTCGAGACGCGAGGCAGACTCCCGAGGAAAGATTAGTCGCATCGGGGCGAGGGGTGGCGAGAATTTCGGAGCAGCCAGGAGGAAAGAGAAAAGAAAGATTACGCGAAGGATGGGGGTAGCTGGCACAAAGGGAAAGGAGCGTAAAAGGGATTGTTAGCGGGTGTATATACGCGTGCACATATTCAGACTTGTATCCATCTTCGGGTCCTCCATTTCCGCGCATCCCACCGGTCTAGACGCGCGCTACCGGCCGTTGTTCTACGCGCGTTTTTGTACTCCTCCAGCCTCTTTTCCTTTCGCTCAACGAGCCAGACACGCACAATCCGTCGTGCTCCGACGCCTCCTTCTCGCCTCTAAAACGCGTCCTTGTTTCCCGAGAACGCGCGGCAACCCCGAATAAGTGTATACATTCCAGGTGGACGAACGGAAAACGCGCCCCAAGACGCTTCGTCGCGCGAAAGATGGTCGTTAACGTTTCACGATGAAACGCTCGGAAGAGACAACTCGGTGCTCGACGTTCCTCTCGCGTGTGTCTAAGCTCGATGAAATTTTGGAAACGTCTCACGGTTGCACCTCGCGCTTGGCTCCAATGTCAATTTCATAAGTGGACGCAACTGTTCTAAAATTGTTTCTGGTGAGCGCGAGAGGCGGATAAATTTTGCTTTCGACGCATCGGCATTGTTCGGTCGATCGTGGAAATCGATGCGACGGTTGGCCGGTAAGAGATACCGCGGCGAGATTGCCGGGGGTGTAGTAAAAGGCAGCGTATAGATCGGGCTCGGTGTAACCTGGATCCCGAGGCGTGTGCGGAAGAAACGATTCCAGCCGGCTACCGCGAACTAGGTCATTGCTGGTGGAAACGAGCTGAACCGAAGCTAGACGAGGGCGAGGCGAAGCGCGGCGAGGGACAGGGTTCCCGGAGAGGGGTCGGCACGGGGTGGGAACCGTGAGGGAAGACGAGCGGAGGGTGGAAGCTATCGAGAATGCAGGCGAACTCGATGACGACGCTGTTCTCCGCTCGCTGTCCGTTGTTCATCGCGACGAATCTAATTCTGCCCTCTCACAGTCGATCGCGGAATCTGTCCATCCACGGATAAACAAAATGTGCATGCACCCTGCCGCTTCTTCGTCGTCGTTTCGCCGGGGAATCACGAATGCCTGCGATGGCTCTTCGCGAAATCATATACGAGGTCTATTATTTTCGATCTCACGTCGCTCGTTCGTCTTCGACCGAAACGACGTCGATGTAAAAATAATCGCGGAGGAGAAGAACGAGGTTTGTCCTTGTCGGAGGCCGCAATGGTTGCACGGTGGCATACTGGAAACGCAAACACGCTGCCAACGGCGCAACGTGAAGCGTTCGATAGTGGGTGGTCGCGCGCATACCCTCTCGGCTCTCGGGTGGCAGGCTGGCTGCCTCGCTCGCGGACTCGCCACGCGTTGCAGTTTGCCGTGTTTTATTACATAAGTCTCGGAGAGGTTGTGAGTGACGCAACCGATCGATGCAGGCTTAATAATACGTTATCGACTGGACTCCGGCGTTGGGGCTCGCGATCGTGAACCTAATTCTAACGAAACGACCCGATTTCACGGTTGATTTCGAGCTGACCCGAGAGAGAGGAGTCGGTCCCCCACCGGTCGCGGTCGATGCAGGATTTGGCGGATTTCGAGAAGGTCGCGGAACGGGTGGGATCGTGGGACGACACGCCGCAACGTGGAGCTCCACTCCGCTCCCGCAAAAATCTATATCGCGCGAAAGGAGTGACCCATAAACCTCGTGCTGGGTCGGGTCACTCTGCACCGGCGCAGTCCCGAATTCAAATAGGAGGGATCTTAAATTGGGTTAACGTCCGAATATACCCCGCGTCACCGGAATTAGTCGGAAAGGTTGCATCCTCCTTCGCGCTGCGGATCGAACGGCGCTGCTAGGCCGCAGAGGCTCACTCGTACGCCGCATGCACGTCTCACCTTCCCGTGATTCTTCTCGCGTACCGCGTTCTTCGTTTAATTTAGTGCCTGTTTCAAGGACGAATCTATGCCGACTGGCTAGAACGCGACTCAATTAACGCTTTTAGCCCGACTCGTCGGTAAAACGAGTCCAGCGAACGTATCTACTCCCACCGTTCGATAAACGCCTGGAACCGTTGTCTCGAATCTGTTTCTACCGCACCCAGCCCGTCCGATTAATCCAGCTAATCGTCCCTGCTCTTATCAATGCCACATGTGTCCGCCTACATTTCGATACGCGTTACGTACGCGTCTTTCTGTCGCTTCGACAGATAAACGAATTTTACAAAACTGGTTCCCTCAGCGATCAAATTCATTGAATAAACGTCCCCGCGACACGAGCACGTAACGACGACGCGGCATCGTCAGCGAATTTTCGAGCGGCTCAGCGCGATTGCTCGCATTTTCGTTTCGTCATAGTACCTAGCGTACACACGCGTTTCGTAACGACGTGCATACATACGTATATACATACATACGTACGTACGTATCGACGCTACCGTGTAACACCGTCGGCTCAAGGTAACGCCAATAAAAAAATCTTTATCTTTACTCGCGTCCCATGTTTTTCAAAGACTCTCGACGTTCGATCGACGGCGAGCTGATTTCTCCCGGTTTCCCGGCAGTTTCCGCGGCCACCTAATTTCTCGTTAACCCGTAAAACGGCGGAATTAAAACGCGTAATCGAGCGCACGCGTGATCGTTGCCAGTCTTCGATTGGTTTGCTTCGAGCAGGCCGCCGGCCTACAAACACGTGCCCCGATTCGCTACCAAGGTGAATGACGACCGCCGAGTTATCGGAGCCCGAGCAGTTTTTTCTTGCTCCGTTTGATGGTTCGCCCACTATCGGCAGCGATTCTTTTCAATCTACTATCGGTCCTGTTCGGAAGTCGAAGTATTTGCTTTCTCATTCGCACGTCGATTAACCGGACTGCCAGATATTACGGCACCGGACGGCGATACGCCTTTCATAAATCGTTGAAAATAATCGACGTTATCTTTAAACCGTGCTATCGTTTTCAGAAAATTTTCCGTTTTACACGGACGAAAACGTACTCCAGATATAGAATCTAATCGAGAGGCTGCTGCTTCGAAAGTACCGGTGAACCGATATCGCCCACGTCCGCTGTCGAAATTAATTAATTCTACGTACCCACGCGTTCCTGCGAAAACGAGGAACGTACTGACGTTCGCGCAGCCATTTTCCCCGATAAGCTTATCCTGTAAGGGGCTTAGCTCTCTTTGACGAACGACCTATTAATTTCTGTCTGATCGAGCGTTTCGCAAATCGATGGACGTGGCAGAGAACGCGCGGCATACAATAAGTCGGAACGTCGTTCCGAAACTGATGTCAACCGGGGCTGGCTCGCAACGACTACGATTGCGCGCTGATAAGTTATCGTCGCTCGACAATTATTAAGTACCTGTCCTTCGCGTCATTCATGGTTTTACATAAATTCGAATGCAGATAACAGTTTTCTAGAACGATTCCAACGACGTGCGACCCAGGTTTTGTTCTAACTGGATCACTGAGAATCAGCGGAGATTAGAAGAACTTTGCGACGACCGATCGATGAAATAAAGTTCGTTTCGCATCCCTTTTCCCGGCTGTCCAAAAATCGTCGGCCGAGTAGATAAATATAATCGTCGGTGGACGGGAGAGCGAGAGGGGTGATAGCGGAATCCGCCATTTCTCTCGAATAGCATGCAGATCTATTTTCGACGAGTGGTTAAAATAGCTGAGCTTAAACTTCTGCTAGACACTGTCGGAGCTGCCACGTAGAAAAGGAATTGGGTCAGACGTCAATGACAAAATGGGTATCGAAAAAGTTCTCCTCACTTTTCAGGACGGAATCGTGTCGCTTTCAAAGTTACGAGCGCACTCGCGATCGCTAACAGATACCAATGCTTCTCTTTTATTTAAAACGTCCTACGTACGTGTGGTGAAAATCGAAACCCGAGCGTAGCGCCTTGGAAGCGTAGAGCTCGTTCCACGAACGGTTCATTTTCCTGACTATGCGCGTGCATATCTCGACTCGAAGCGAACAGGTAAGAGGCGAGAAGTGCGTTTCCGAAACATATTCGGGACTCGAATAGGCGAACGATAGCGCTGAGACAACGTCTCGTTTAAAAACGATACGCACACCGTAGACAGGGACGGTAACCGTTGAAAACAGCCGTTGCACCGTCTAAATTTAAATGCATGTCTCGGAACGAGTTGCATAACCTGGCATCGAATGCGTGCAGCAACGAAACTGCGGAAGCTAAAGTTACCGATGTACATACGCTACTACTCGCTACGCCTTCGGAGCGTAGCTTTTCGCGTGGTCGACGGATCGATAACCGAAGGAAAGGTCGGGGCATTTTCGATTCGAACCGCGACCGACTATACCCAAACGCAGCGTCGATCATCATCCGAATCGTAGAACGAGTCATGCATCGCGAGTAGCGTGCTACGTGTTAACGCTTGGAAACACGTATCCCAAACGTGCCTCTCGGTACTTTCGAAGACCGTTCATCTCGCTATCAGTGAGGGATAATCGACGATCGAACAAAGGATCTAACCTGCTGAAACGTTGGTAGCTGGAGCAGGTCCCTCTCCTCGGTGGTGGTGACTTCGAACGTGGGCGCAGGTTGAGGCGGATATATGCTGCCTTTGCCGGGGTACGAGGTGCTCCTGCGGAACTTCACGGGACTGATGCACGACGGATGGGCCGCGGGTCCCGGGTGGCCGGGGAACGTGGGGCTCGGTTTTCTCCCTTGCAATCCCGCGACGGCAGCCACCGCGGCGGCGGCGTGAAGAGATGTGTGCAAGGGAGGAAGATTCGGGACCGATCTGCCCCGGTTCCAGGGCGAGAGGCCGGGACTCGCGACCGCGGCTGCTTGAGGACCGGTGGCCCACTGTTGTGGGGCTTGCGGACCACCGGACCATGCCGCGTATCCTTTCCCGGGAAGGTAAACACCCGGATGCGAGCTGGCCGGCGGTTGTTGCTGCTGTTGTTGCTGCTGCTGTTGCTGCTGTTGTTGCTGTTGCTGCTGCTGTTGTTGTTGTTGTTGAGCCGCGGACGACACCTGGAGACCGTGTCTGGTCGTAGGCGCGGTCGCGGTACCGTGTTGCTGAGGGAAATTGTGAATAGCCGTGATAGCGCGACGGGCCGGGACGGTCGGCCCGGTGCTCGCGAACAAACCGGTGGGACCGCCGGTTGGAAAGTTTTGGAACGCCGAGATGGACCCGTTGACCGGTAACGCGTGCAGGCTGTTGTCGTCCGGGGCGGACCACAGGCTTGGCACTCTGCCGGCCTCGGAGAAACCCTGGAGCGTCGAACTGGTGCTGCAGGCGATCTCCTTCTCGGTGGAGGAGGGCGTCGTCGGCGTGATAGCGATACTCTCGACCTCGACCGCGTCTTTCGTCTTCTCCTGGCCGGCCACGACGGTCTCCAGGCCGGTGCTCGGCGACAGCGGCGCCGGCTTTCCGCTAGCCTGTTTCTCGATCAACAGATCGTCCTGCATCGTCGACGTCGTTATCGTCACGGCGGTGCTCGCGTTGCTGCTGCCGATCGGCGACTTCGCCGCGCTGGACAAGCTATTCGAGAAGAGACTGGTCGCGCTAAAATCCCCCATAAATCGTCGGGGTTCCAAGAACCGCGAGGAGCAGTATCCCGTTGACCGTATCGAGGTCCCGTTCGCCGACGACCGACTCCTTTTGGATCCCCCTGTCGAACGATACGGACGTTTTTAGGCTACCAAGCGAGTACCCGTGGTATTCGTTCTCTTCGTTCGTTCGGTTCGACGCGTACTCGGGAATATCGTGCGTTCTGTAGAGGTAAATCGAGTCGTTGCACGGACTTCGTCGACCAGTCGTCGACCAGAGCTCGCTCGCGAGACAACTATCGATCCACGCGTAAAAACACCCACGAACCCCGGAAGCTGTGCGAACTACACCGATATTTCGGCTTCTCTTATTTTCGCCGTTTTTCTCGATTTCTTTGCATCCCTCTCAACCTCTCTTCGTCTCTCTCACCCCCTTTCTCTCTCTCCCATACGCACACTGTCACGCACCCTTTCTCTCGTTCCCTGTTTCTCGGATTTCCTTCCTTTCCTCAGCGTGGTTCGATCGCGCGTTATTTCGCGACCCAACGACGCGTGTATACTTCGCAGCCTCTACTTTTTTACCCTTTCTCTCTCTCTCGCTCCTCTCTCTCTCTCTCTCTCGCTTTCTCTCCCTCCCTTCCTCTCCCCTTGCACGACACAAAGAGGTGCTTAATAACGTCGAAATCAATTAAATCGTTGCACCAGAGACGCGCTCCGTCCTCGTGCGATTAACGGCGGCAACATTCTCTCTCGGTTATCGAACGACCGTCTGTCCGTTCCGCGACGAGCATGGTCGTCGAGAAAGTCCCGACGTTAGTTCCCAGTGTTTCACCCCCGCCTGGCGAACATAGTTCACCCTCGCTGCGAATACCCTTGCGAATCGGTCTCGCGTCGCGGCTGCTACTACTGTGCGTCGTCGTCGTCGTCGTCGTCGTCGTCGTAGTCGTCGTCGTCGATTCCTTCAACCAGGTCTCGCACAAGTGCACACGCACAGGCACACGAAAATTCATGCATAGACACGCGTGCGCACACAAACACGAACGGTGTCGTCCGTGCGGTATACACGAAACGAGGCCGGGATCGTGGTAATCGTCGGTGGTCGGTGCAGCGTACGCGGCAGCCGCGGCACACTACGAATACGCTTGTCACGGAACACGGATTCCCGATAAAAGGGTCGTCGCGAGCGTTTCATTCAGTAGGAGAGAAGATCCAAGATGCGCGAGAAGCAGCGCGCGTATCGCTGCTCCTCGTCGGACACACTCGCGTCGCCGCTGCTCCCCGTTAATCGCGACCGTTTCGCGATTAGCGATCGCACGGCCGATCGATCGGCTCCGTCGAGCACGCACGTATACCCACGGGCACACTCCGCGATATCGCGTTCCTCGTTCGTTGGACACTGTGTCGCGACACCGATCTCTCGCCGCCCTCCCGTTCTATACGCGTTGCGTTCCGTTCCGTTCTTCGCCGAACTTACCGCCTCGTCTTGTCTTCGTTCGATCTAGCGCCGCTTCTCATTGGCGACTCACGTATCGTGTCCACGCGCGGCTTACGGTTGCACCACTCCTGTCCGCTCGCGTGTCACGATTTTTCTAACGTCGCCACCACGTCGTCGTCGTGGATCCAAGGTTCCCGAACGGTGCGACGGATTCCAATTTTTCAAACGGTATCCGGAAACCCGGCGGCGGTGGCGGCGGCGGCTCCGTTCCCCGGCGGGGTTCGATCGAAGGCCAGGAGGCGAGCGCGATCCCACGACGCAGCCGAGCTGATTTTGCGTCGCGCGTAACAACACGATTCGTGCGTGGTGCCGACTTTTGGAACACTGTAGCCGTGCCGCGGCCCACACCATGCCAACCGTACTCTGTCCGCGTAGCCGTGCGCTCGGCGATCTTCGGCCGCCGCTTCGTCCTCGTCTTCGTCGACGTCGTCGTCGCTACGTCGCTGCTGCGTCGCACGGCGACGTCGGTCACGCACGCGCGTTGCCGTCCTCTCCTTTGAACCACCGCAGCAGCTGCCTCCGCAGCCACCACCGATGACCGACGACGGGAACCACCACCGTCACCGTCAACCCCTTTTCTCTCTGTTCATCCACCGACGTTCCCACTTCCGCTCAAGCTTCCCGCGGTTACACGCGATTTTTCAAATATCCGCTTGACGTCACCGCGTCCTCCCGTCATCGTCGATCGAACTCGCGGGGCCGACTTCGACTTCTCACATTTTTTTCCTCGCTCTTCCACTTTTACATGTATAAATGTAAATAAAGTGTCTCTTCATCGATTTACTGATTCCGTACTTGTTCGTCGCTGTTACGATCGCTTCGCGTGTACGGTTATCTACGATCGAGCACGTCAGAAGCCTTATTATCGTACAAGAAAAGATCATTAAATTATTTATTACGGATTCTGTATTTATTTAATCATACAGAACACGCGTTCCTAAAATCGCTCTTAATCTTTGCCCACTGCGTTTCGTTCTTTCGACGATCTTATCGATCTCTGCTTTAGATTGATAAGCGTATCGCCTAAAGATTTGGACACAGATCATAACAAATTATATTTGTAATTAATTAAAATACGTTATTTATTAATGATATATTATCAATTATAGTATCGATAACGTGTCATACTCTGTTCCTCGAAAGATAAACGCTGGACGTTAATAATGTGTTCAGTGTTTTAAATAATTTGCGCCTCGTTTCGTACTATTTTCGAAAATAGAGCATTTAACAAAAAGGCAGAAAAGTACTCGAGCTCAATACATTTAGCAGTCTGTTTGGGCGAATAACTAGTAGATATTCGAGACAACAGAGGGAGTAGCTTATCGCATGAATCAGTCAGCTTGACGTTTTAAAGTCGAAGGAGCAGACAACGAGCGAGCAGAGAAGAAGAGGAAAATAAAGAGAAGAAGAAGAGTCGTATTTTTGTAACAAGATGAACAGATTGTTCGGGAAGCCCAAACCCAAGGAACCGGGACCAAGCCTCACAGATTGCATCGCTGGGGTAACTATATTATCAGTAGCCGCAGCATTGGCAAAGGTTATATGATCATCTACGTCGACCGTGATTTATCGTTAATACTGTTTCGCAGGTTGACAGCCGGGCAGATTCCGCGGAGAAGAAGGTAGCTAAGCTAGATGCCGAGTTGAAGAAGTATAAAGATCAAATGGTGAAGATGAGGGAAGGCCCGGCGAAGAACGCGGTTAAGGCTAAGGCGTTGCGCGTTCTCAGGCAGCGGAAGATGTACGAGTCGCAAGTGGACAACTTGCGTCAGCAGGCGTTCAACATGGAACAAGCAAATTACGCTACTCAAACTTTGAAGGATACTCAAACGACCGTGGTTGCCATGAAGGAGGGAGTGAAACAAATGCAGAAGGAATTTAAGCACGTTAACATAGATCACATCGAGGTACCAATTGTTTTAGCTACTTTTTTAATAGCGATGGAATTGCGCTTACCGTTCGACCGTATCTAGGATCTTCAAGACGATTTGGCGGATATGCTGGAACAAGCGGACGAGGTGCAAGAGGCACTCGGTCGTAGTTATGGTACGCCGGATATAGACGAGGACGAATTGGCAGCTGAATTGGAAGCATTGGGAGATGATATAGGAATCGAGGAAGATAGCAGCTACTTGGACGACGCTATCAAAGCGCCCAGTGCACCCGACAAAGAACCTGGTGCAAGTTCTATCAGGAACAAGGTTTGCATTGCTACCGCTACGGGATTCGTCAGAACTCATGAGAAATTTCCTTTCCTACGTTTATACGAAATTTATCCTTTACTTATAGGACGGCGTCCCAGTAGATGAGTTCGGCTTGCCACAAATTCCAGCGAGTTAGAATGCTGTACCGAGCATGGATACCGACGGGTACAAGTTAATCTAACGTTTATATAAATAAGAACAAAACCGGAAGTGATCCAAAAGGATCTGCGACTCGCGGAAGCTTTTTCTACACGTTGCAATACAAGAATAACACTCGTGCATAAATGATCGTAGACTAACTCGCGCAAATTCTAAGTCTATATCATATAATATTGTTATCGATAGATACCTTGTTTTTAACGCATTGCGTCTGTCCTGTTAATGTATAGATCGAAATATAATAAATGATATCTAAGATGAACGTTCAGACTATTTGCAACCGTGGGACGTCCGTTTCATTTTGGTTCTGCAACTCCGCGTACTGCGCGATCAAGTCCGTTACCGTCTCTCTGCTGTCTAGGAAATCCGTTTCCTCGAACCCACGTACTTGCGTATAGTGATAGATATGCGCCTGCAATGTAAGTTTACAATTCTGGTAACTAACGTCTACGCATATAATGCACGTGTCCGCGTTCGTAGTATTACCTTCCGTTTGTACAGCCTGTCAAACTGTTTCACTAAATTCTTAAATAACGACGACATCGACGAGGAATTTAAAAGGCAGAGTAACGAAGTCGCATGTCCAGCCGGAGGCACGGAGCACAGACCTACTTTCATAGCTTCGTCGCTCCATTTCGTAAACTTAACTTTACTTCGAAACCTGAGAAGATCGTCAGATTACGAGAAATATATAGCAGAACGACTGTAATTAAGATCGAATATATATTATGTGCACCTTTCGATGTTTCGTTTCAAATCATTCACGGAACAGTTGCCTCTAGCGATATGCGCGGCGCTTAGAATCGTCGAATCCGTTTGCAACGGATCTATTTTAATCGTCTGGTTGTTTCGCGACCAAGCGTTAGTAAATATTTCATCTATTAATCTAAAAGATGTGTAGATACATTAATTTGTTAAACCCTAAACGTTCAAGCTAAGTGTATATGTACTTCGTTCCATGTGTACTGCACGCCGTCGGTGCGGACAATGCCACTGGACTAACGCTGCTAAATATATAATGTAATTTTGGATACGCCACTAGATTCGTCGCTATTTCATTCATATCCATATTTAAACTGCCCGGAAATCTGGATCCACTAAAAAGAAAATTCTATCCAGTCGATTCATTCAACTGCAAGTCAGTTCGCAAATTACCTAGTTAAATGCAGAAGCATATTTACGACGATACTGTTCATATCTTGAAACGGTTTGCACCAGGAATTATAGTTTACTTGATCTCTGTTCTCTTTCTTTCTTGCCAACGAGTTGCATATGTCCAAAAGGGATTCGTTTTCCATAGGGAACGCGCAAGTCGCGTGGTCTATGATTTCTCTCGTTGCCAGCAATGAATTGTAAGGAGAAGTGACCACATCTTGCATGACAATTGGATATACAGAAGATACTAATCTGTAAAGTTACTCGTTAAACTCATTCAGTTCGCTTGAATCTTTTTAATGTACGACTGCTACCTATCTACGCTGGGATAATTGTCAGCCAGCATCTTTAAAACAGCTGTTCCTAATCCAGAACCAGTACCACCTCCCGTAGAATGCATAATTAAAAACCCATGTAACTTCGAACACTTCTCTACCATATGTCTTATGGAATCTTCCAACTTTTCATGATATTCTGTGCCATGAGTATGATACCCCACAGCCCTACAAGGTACAATTTATACAACGTGGGAACTACTGAAATTATTTAGATGTAACAAGCTTATACGTAATTAACGAAATACCAATTATTTCCGGAGCCTGGATAATTTGTAACGGTGCATGTCTGATCGAATAAATTGCGGACAGGACCTTTCCTCAACCCTCCTACAACGCTATCTTCCATATCTATCAATATTGCCTACGCCCCGATAATTGAATAATTTAATTTATCATCTCTATGCAATTATATGATCGTAAAATATTATATTATGTACCCTAGCTTTGACTTTTGCTGCTTTTAAGTCGCTTATACTTTTGAAGCTCAAGTCACGCGATTTGTCTGGTATAATAAAAAAACTGTCGAACGCGTCGGAGATATCGTTCATATTTTTTATGTGTCTCCGTTGGGTTTTAAGTAAATTCGTCCCAGTGTTTGTCGTTTGTATACCGTACTCGTGTAACGCCAAAGGCCAGAACGCTGACCCAATCTGATTCCCGCATTGTCCAACTGCAATTAAATCCTCTTACTATTTGTCTCCAACTATTTTGGCATCCTCGATTGTATAAACCGCGTACCTTGCACGACGATAAACTGACTCATTTCGAATATCTAGAAGCTACCAGAAAAACCGGACGATAACAATAACACTGATTCACACGCTGTCGCACCCTAACGAATTAATCGAAATATCGGGTACTATTCTTCCCGAAGAAGTCGACCGCGATTGTAAGAAGTTTTACCGCTGCACGATTCGAAGTTCCACTTCGTGAAATTGTTTATAGAAAATTTCGATATTCGTCATCGAGACACAGTATCGATGTAGAAATTTCAAACGAGGTGCTACTAATTCTCAGTATTTACGATTCCGTCCAGGACCTCTCGTGAGTGAAGTTACAGTAGCCACTATTATTAGTATCAAACGTGTAACGAACGGCCGAACAATGCGACGACTGAGTATTATTATTATCGTACTATTTTGCAACTGTTTTCATAAAGATTCTTCAGCAACCAATCTTCAACCTACTAGCACACCATCAGGTAAGTCGTATCTAACCTATACAGGATGTCCTAGAATTAGTTTTAAGCCTTCAAATGTGGAGGAGCTGAGGTAATTTTAAACAATTTTTTCCTTTGCAAAAATGTTGTCCGAAGCACGGTTGACGAGTTATTATCAACAAACCGGGACCAATCAGAGTGCTCGTATACAAGACGGGTAGGTGCGCGATAACCGTCTCGTCCGTTGCCGCGGCCGTATGCCACGCGGCCATAACGAAATGTAGAATTAAAACAAAAGTTACATGCAACAGCAACTAAGAAATTGATTAGATATCAGAGAAAAGAAAGCAATTAGTCGTTAGTTACGTTCGCTGAACAAATGTAACATACTCAATGAAATAACTAACAACTTTATAAATTACAGAGTAGCTAAAATTATAAAAAATGGGAAGAGAATTAGAGTTGAACTTAATCGTTCGTC